CCTTAGGATCCTTCACAGTAAAAGTCTGATTATGACATCAACAAGCACATAATGGAAATAATCCTAAAGATCAAGAGGGCTGTGTGTATACAGAAGTTAGGGAACAGGTTTGGAACATAGCCAGGACCAACACAACTGAATGCTTGTGCTAATCTGAAGTCAGTGTGCCATCTTTGAGGTAGCCAATGTACAGCTTGCAGGGCAGGCCTTATCTCAGCGGTTCTCAAACTTTAGCAACCCAAGGAGCCTTATTTAGATTTACAGTTTTTCACAGACCCCCAACACACCATCCCTGCCACCACCTCTTCCCACGACCGCTCCACCCCTGCTCCTCCTCTTCCCCTGCCTCTTTCCACCCCCTCCCCCCAAGTGCAACCTATCCCTGCTCCTCTCCCTCTCTCCCAGTGCCTCCTGCATGCCACTGAACAGCTGTTCCACAGCATGCAGAAGGCACTGGGAGGGAGGGGGTGGAGTTGATCAGAGGGGCTAGCAGCCCCAGAAATGACTTGCAGACCCCCTGGAGTACTCTCGCAGATCCCCAGGAGTCCACGGACCCCAGTTTGAGAACCCCTGCCTTATATGATCTAATTCAAACAAGTGAGAGAGCCTACCACTGCATCTTTAACAGGCTACAAGCAATAGAGCAGATCTACTAAGAGTGCTATAATATGGAAATTACAAAAACTGAGCTTTTTAGTCACAAGGACATGTGTTGTTGCAAGTCACTACAGAATAAATGAAGGCACAATTAATATAAATTTTATATATATATATATATACACACACACACAAACATATACATATTTCATTTATAGGATGTAGGGTTATCATCTTACCTCAATACACAGGGGAGTATGAATTTTAATATAATAATTACAGTAATACTTTGAGAATCCTTCAAGTACTACTTTGTATCATACAGTGAAAAGGTTATGCAATCTCAGCAGTAAACTAAGCCGAATTAATCAAATGTCATAAAACACAGATATATATGTTAGCTTTGGGATTTCTTGTTACTCATTTTCAAAAATGATTTTATTTTATAAAAAGTGGCATTTTCCAGTACATCATCAAAGCCTGCAATAAATGTTGAGCTACCATAGGAATGATCAGTTTTACAGTACACTGCTGCCCCCTGGCTTGAGTATAAAAGAAGACTGTATGTTTACTAGTGCAGATGGTATCAGTAACTGACATATTTAAGAGAGATTATTTATAAATCAAATCCAATTTTCATACTCATAAATCAAAAACTGTGGGTAGAAGTATAGTATTGCCAAATTCAAAATGAGTTACTGTGTGCAGATCACTGTAAATTTTCTTTTTTTCCTGCCATTTTATATCACAAAATAGATCAAAAGAAGATGTAATAAGCAGGTATAAGATACCATTATTGTTCACTACACATCAGCAAACTTACTTGTGCAGTCATAACACAGTCACACAATATGATTTCAATGCATCCTTGTATTTCATTACTGGATGTCTCTATTCATAACTGTGTGCCAGTGGTTCTATTTCACTGGTATTTTTTTCCATTAGCATGTCTTCTTCCCCTTCTCTTTAATATTTTTACTATTTAAAAATAAAAAAATCTATTTTTTATCTTTTAAGACAATATTCCAGATATCAAATAAAAAATCTGATGATAAAAAAAATCTACACAATGCCAAAATATTCCCTGACCTTCACCCCTTCTCATCCTACTGACTTCAGAAGGGTTATATGTGGTGAACATCAGCCTATAATTGTCTGTTAAACTTTGGCTTCCTACTGGAATATTTTGTAAACAAAACAAAAACCCATTCTCTGGGATGTACTGAGGGAAACCCAGATAGCTTGTTGTCCCTGGCTGAATGCCAGTTTTCTTCTCTTCAGAAACAGATGAAGGAATATTACCTAGGAAATTATAAAATCTAAGAAATCAGAGTCAGAGCTCTGCATCTTCCTAAGCAATTAAAAACTTTGTTAGTACATTATCGCCTTTACTGCAGGTTACCAGTTCAAATCCAGTCAAGGCTGGTACTGCATAAAAGTTGTTACCATCTACTGGCTAGTCAGAGACCTCTGTGAAATGGGCTCATTCCACTATCAGAGACATCTAGGTCACAATAGATACTATTATTGTCAGATCCAGAAGAAAGGCCAAAGACTCTAACCTATCATTCCTAGGTCTGGTTTTCTGATTAGGATGAACTATGTTGGCAGGGCGATACAAGGAAGATTGCACACTGCTGGTGCTGTTGATGGGTGTTGAGTTTTTTTATAAAAAGGAACCTAAAGTCTCTACAGTTGTCAGCTTGCCATCTTTCAAGAGCAACCTGCTAGCACAAAGACTTAAAGCTGCTGTAAGTGAGCAGCAGTTGAGGTTTTTCCACAGATGGGGCAACACTCAGTTGCCATGAAGCTGGTGTAGATTGCTTGCTGGGGTGGAAGGAGATGTGGCCAAGGTATCTTGTGCTCCAGCTATTCCTGCCAATGTGGTGACCCTGAGGGATCTGTCACAAATGAGTGTAAATTAGAGCAGCAACTGAGAACTGAGCCCTCTGTATAGCAGGCAAAACTAAAATCCAAGACTTGAACACACTCAAATATAAGGGAAGTTTGAATGGGTAGAGTGAATGGTCCCTTACAATGTGTTCTAACTACTTATGTTAAACAATCTGTTCCATTTTGTATTTAGCTGTGACACTCTGAGTATCTTTCCCAGACCTGAAGAAGAGCTCTGTGTGGCTCAAAAGCTTGTCTCTCTCATCAGCAGAAGTTGGTCCAATAAAAGATATTACCTCACCCACCTTGTCTCTCTAATATCCTGGGACCAACGTGGCTACAACTACACTGCATAAAGAACTCGTTTCAGGTGAAGCAGGTGTGGCCATTTTTGTTGCCTTTCTGTGCATGAAAACTTGGTCATGAGATGTGAAGAATTTAAAATGCAAAATAAGAATCCATTTGGGAGAAACATATCAGATTTTTAAAATAGTTTAGAACAAGCAACCATCACATTATTTTTTATTCAGTGTACATGGTGTACAAAACGTATTAAGTATTCAGTGGTTTATATTGCTCTCACCCTTTTGCTTCAGCCTGCATTTCTGGACTTTCTGTTTCAAAAGGGAAAAAGGGACCATCAGCTAAAAGGCATGAATCATGGTGATGTAAATTCATATATAGGGATTTTTCTTTTATAGACTATACCATTGAGGACAACTTGGAAACTCCTTACTATGCAGATTTTAGATAAGATACACTGTAATAACTCCTTTGGGTATGTAAATAATATTTTCTATTAACTGAATTCTACTACATGGTGAGAATTAAGTATAAAAGCAATGTGTCTGTGGTCACAGGAGTCTGTTCTCTCTTTAACATTGTGGCAAGGAAGCAATATAAAGTTAAATCTATTAGATCCTGTCTCTCGGGAATTCTGTTTTTGGCCCACATACTGAATGCAATGTTATGTTATTGCAAAATCCATTATAACCCACCAAGTGCATCATAACTAATTTTCTTTTGTAGTTATTACAAGATAATAATAAGTTAATGTGCTGTAGTGGCGTGATATCATACTGAATGTGGAACCACCAGAATGAAAAATCCATACCTCTGTACTGAACTTTCCCAAGTTCTCACATTAAGAAGCAGGCCCAGGGATGAGTAGCACTGTGGTGCTAGAGACAAGAAAGAGAATGAAACCAAAAAAATCTCTGCACAGCTTTGAAGTGAAAAATGTGGCCAGTGTTGTGGCCAGACAGCTACCTATGAACCAGAGAAATGGAGAGAGCAACTCAGTCCAAATGTTATAAGGGGTTTCACTGGATGGTCTAACAGAAGGCTGAGTTCATTTGTGGGTTTTTGAATCTGAATAGTTTATCCTGTTACAAAGATAAGCATCATTTGCAAGATGTAAATCCAGATCTGAATTCAGATTTTGAAGTTTGTGGTTTTCACTTCACAGCTATCTCCCATTTAAACTTTTTAGGATCACTTCTCATTTTAGGGCTTAAATAAATGAAGGAAAATCATTCCTAGTGTAGTATCATTGGCCTAATGCATTTACTTTAATATAAATGTTGTATTACATTATACATGTAATTTAAAATTTGAATCAGTATAATTAATAAAGTCATTACTACTACACAGTGGGAACCTTCTATACAATGTTTTTGAAGGAAAGGGAGAGAGGATAACCCACCAGTAGTAAATAAAGGCATGCATGTGTCGACTTTCAAATCAAACTGTCAGGAGAGACACTGACAGAATCTTGGTTCTTTCCCAGAGATGGACATAAAATTTCACTCAGGAATTTCTGCTACAATTGTGGCAGAAAAATGTGGTTGAACTGGAGCACATCAGAAAGTGGTGATTAGTGCTGTGTAAGAGCTTGCTAAATTCAATTTGGGGTTTAAAATAGAGGACAGACATGATATCGAGAAACACATGAGAGATAATACAGAGAACAAAAGTAACTCCAACCCCTGCCATTTCCAGCACTTTGCTTCTCCCTCACATTATCTCCCACTTCTTGTCCTCAGTCAGACTCTATTCCTCCATGTTACCACTATCTACTATCCACTGTCTCCTCCCTTTCGACCATCCTCTCTGGTTTTGACAATGACTCTCCCTCTTTCTCTTCTCACAATTTCCCTTTCTTCATCCTTAGTGACTTCAACTTTCACCCTGATGTCCAGGTTCAAGTCTTTATCCTCTTGCCTCTTTACCATCATCTCCTCATTTGATCTTCAATCCTGGATTAACTCCTTCTCTCAGGAAAATTGCCATTCCTCCATGGGTGGCGTGTGAACTGTCTGTTGGGGGAGCTAGCCCCCAGCTCCTCCCCTTCTGCCCAACGCTTCTCCCCTCCTCCCCCCCCCCCCACTGGAGCCCAGAGCACCCTCACTGGAGCTGTCGGTCCCCCCAGCCCCAGGCTGCCCCAGCACCCCCAGCCACAGCTGCCCCCACCACCGGAGCGCCGGGTGGGCAGTGTGCCCCCAGCCACCCCCAGTACTGGGCCTGCCCCAGCCAGAGCTCCAGCAGAACAGCGGTGAAGCAGGCAGCAGGTGGCCTGGGAGTCTAGTATGGATGGGGCCACCCTGGGCTGTTTGCGGAGGCTCAGCCTCACCTGGCCTGTGATACCCACCGCCCATGCATTCCTCCAACCTCATCCTTATTGAGTACTATTTTCTCTTGTTCTTTCTACCTACCATTTCATCTCCTTTCACTCAGCCAGCTTACCCCGTCCCATTCCCCATCAATCCACCTGGCCCTTCTGTAATCTCCAACCAATCAATACCCCTAATTTATACATCACTCTCAGTCCCCTTCTCCTTGCTCTCAACTTCCACCTCTCTGATTCAGATGCTGGTTCCTTCTACTCCACACTGTCCTCCACCCATGACTCCTTTGCTTTGCTTTTCCACCAAAATGTTCAGCATTCTAGTCCTTCACTTTGACGTACGCTCAGCATCTGATTCTTCAGCTCCAGCTTTCAAGCTACACTGCGCACTTCTGAAGAAAATCCCATAACCATGCAGAAGGGGAGGAAAATGGAAAAATAGGAACAAAATGTTCCCTCCCTGCTATTCCTGTTTTCTTCCATCTTCCTATTACTTTTCCTTATTTTGACCATTGTCCTTTCAGCTCCTCTTCTCATCTTTTCTCCAGCAGAATCATTCTTGCTTAAGGTTTTCTTAGAAATTAGGAAAAAAATTAAAAGCCTCTTAGCACTACTTCATGAACACTAGTTCTCTGGGCTGTTGAGTCCACTCATACAGGAATATGCAGTCACCACCTACTATATTAAAAAATGAGATGGTGGGGGGAAAAATTAGTAAACATTTATAAATAGTTCTAATTTCCAATTATGTTGTTCTATTAATCTTTGAGCATTTACACAGCATTACTTCAGATTTAATTTTTTCTACTAATTAGAAGACAGGTTTTGTTTAATTGATTCTAAATAAAATATTCTAAAAATTTATTCCGTTCAGCATCCGTTTCTTCCGTTTCCAACTCATAATGTTTCATGGCAACAAAGTATCGAATAAAGGTATCACCCAGTGCTTCCCTAAGGCACAAATCTTCCTCAAGTGCAGCAAGAGCATCTTCTAGTTTCAAAGGGATTGCTGCAGGTTTCAACTGAGCAGTGTTCTGGTTCTCTTCTGACGCATCCTGGAAGCTAAGTTTTCTCTTTACTCCATCCAGGCCTGCAGCAATAGTAGCAGCAAGCACCAGGTAGGGGTTTGCTGTAGCTGAACCTAGCCTGTTATCTATCTGAGTGCCTTTTCCACCATGACACTTAATGTTAAAGGCACAGCTATTATCATTAAATGCCCATTTTGCCGTCACAAATTCTTTTGATTCCTTACCACATTTGGAATAGCGTTTACGGCAGCTGACCGTAGGAGCCATCAGGCAGCTGAGAGCTTCGGAATGCACCAAGAGCCCTGCTAGCCAATTCTTTCCAACATCAGTGAGCGCCTGAACCCCCCAATCAACAGAAAACAAATTCTTTTGGCCATTGAAATCCCACAGACTATGTGACAGAATCCCCGAATTGTAGAACCCATTCTCTGTGAAAAAACTTGCAATGTAGTTGTACTTTTTTGCCACTTCTTTAATGCCTGTTCTGAAGGTGAAGGCAGTGTCAGCAGCACCTATGCCAAACTCTGGATGAAAAGAGATCTCCATCTGTCCAGGCCAAGTGGAGGAAGAGAAGCTCTCAATGTTGGCACCAGCGTGATACATTCCTTCAATGAGTTCCTGAATGAAAAGCTGGTCATAACTATTGAGTATGCTTGCTGCAGGAAAAGATATCGTCTTTGAATTTACAATTTCAGCAATGCCATAAATACAAAATTCATAGGTGTAGGCAGAGCGCAATGACAAGCCATTGTCCTGAAGTTGGCTCAGCTGTTGTTTGGCAATGTGCCTGGGTGAGGTCAATAGAGGGGTTCCCAGTATAGTGAAGGAATCACATATCACTCTAGCAGTTTGTTCAGTCCATGGTAGGACTCTAAATGTTGATAAATCAGGGCTCAGGAGTATGTCACAATTAAAATTGGTTGCACTTATGTGGTCCACTTCACTGTCCTTAGGGTTCAGGGTCAGTTCAAGGTATCCTCTGGGCATGGACACACCATAGATTGCTTTTTCCTAAACAAGGGGGAGAGGAATGGATTACTGAGTCTTTGACAGCTGAACATTAATAATATTTTAGATATATAATATAATATGCCCAAATCTTAAGTAAAGATTTTAGCATTTGGCCCATAGGACCTTTCTCCTCAAAGAATCAAAAAGTGCTCCAGAAACTATAAATTGTATGTTGACCACCATTATCAGGTAGCTTCCTCTGGAGGGTGGCAACCAGCTGGTGCATAAGTGTAAGGAGGAAAAGTGTTGAGCAAGGTTGTATGCAAATCTCTGCTGTGTTTAAGAAATAATAATAATTATTATTAATGTCTGTGCAGAACTGACAGGATTTTGGGCTCCAGTTCTCCACTGTTTTACCCTTTATCTAGTCACTTACATCTGTGCAAAGCAAGTGCAAAACTGTATGTAAAAGGCTGGCACAAGATAATTTTCCTAACATAATGTTGGCATTTTACATCCACTTTGCACAGATGTAAATGACTGAACAAGGCAGTGGAGAGTCTGGGTTCCCTTTAAACTCCATTACACTCACTTTGTCTACCTCAGATGACAAACAGCTGCACCAGCTCTGCCAGGATGTGAACTTGTTACAGGGAATATAGACTTTTCACACCTGAGGCTTAGATTTATACTTGGCTGACTTTGCTTAGGTAAAAACTAGGAAACAGCTTCAAAATGATAAATAATGCTAACACCTCCGTGCCTTCTTTAAACATCATGTAGACAGGTGAATCAACAAATTGCTCAAGTTGCCCCTTCATTTGCACAGGTGGCTCCTATTGACATGAATGGGGGCAATGCACAAGTCAAGTGCAGACAAGACTGATATGGATGGAAATTATAATAACTGTATCTTTGATGAAGAACCTTAGAAGGTATCTTAGAGCCAGATCTTCAGCTGGTGCAAACTGGTATAGTTCCACTGGAATTATACCAAGTTACAGCATCTGAAAATCTGGCTTAATAATGTGCTAAGGTTCTATGTTGTGGAAACCCATGCAAGACCAATACAAATATATTTTTGTTACCTGTCCTTTTATTTATATATGGAGAGAGAGAGAGAGGGAGAGAATGAACTACAGCAAGTGAGCCTTTTTAGCAGTATGGAAGCCAGAGAGAGTTTTTATACAGTTTGCCTGTGGGAAGGCCACAGATACTCTGGATTGAAACTAACCCTACATTTTTAGTGAATCTTCTCCCACTGCCTTGAGAAAGGATCACTATCTAGGTGGATTGACTGGCTGGAATGGAACTGTTGAGATTTCAAGACTAAAGTGAATGATACAACACTTTCTCCCCTGAACTGGACAGAAGTTTCTTAACTTTTCCCTTTACCAAATATTAAAATTAGCTTTGATTATAAGCAAATAATTTTTACCAAAATTACTGAGACAAGATAGTTAAGGTAATATCTTTTATTGGACCGGGGGATTCTGTTGCTTGAAGGTACAAGTCTTAAAACTACACGGAGCTCTTATATTTCAAATTATTTACATTGAGTACAATATTTTTCCTTTCTTTTTGATAACTACATAATGTTACTACAGTAGTCACAAAATTCCCTAGATAGTCCCTATACTGTGTGGTGTCATCCCATCACCTGTACTAAGCAATATGGTGATCACCATGGTAAGGTTATCTAGTTATCAAAGGCAACACTGAAAAATTGTTGAGGGTGAGCACTTTACAGCCCCATTCATAAAAGCTACATGATTTCTCTTGAAATCTAAAAGTTTTTTCTATTTTTAAAATGCTTGAGGATTTACATGGAGGTCAGTGAATAATGTGAGTGCAACAGATAACTTTGAATAATCTGAGATGGGCACCTGTACTGTGAGTTAATGATTGAAAAAGATGGTGCTATTACCCACCACCTCTCAAAAGCATTAAACTAACTGAAAAAAGTTTATTTCTGCTAACATCAAATGACATCAAGAGTAAATTGTATCTAAGTGCTAGAGTTAAAAGGTTGCAGCTATCTAAAAGCCAAATAATGAGAAAATGGTATTAGCTTCAAAAGATGCTTGAAATGAAAGCATTCAATTTTCTGTCATGTTGATATCTTTTTTGTGATTGCTCAGTAGAATGTGAAATATTCATAGTAATATGAGAGTGAAAATACAGCATTAATCACCCATGTTAAGGATCAGAGGAAAAAAAGCTTAAAGGTCAGGATATATATACATGCTATCAAGAGCTTCATAATTTGACTCTTATTTGACTCTTATTTTCTGTATCAGTATAGGAAATATTACTAAGCAGTCATGCAATCTATAATATTTTCTTATATGATGTGATTGTTGAAAAGAGAATACTTCATAACTGAAATGATTTTCAGCTAATCATTTTTGTTTGTTTTGATATTTTCTCTTGGGTCTCGTCTTGCAATCTACTCATGTCAAATAAAACAGAATCTTTATAATTGTGGTGAATGTGAAAAGATAATTCTGCAGAGGGAGATTATTGGATGTGGAAAGTACTGAAATTACCATCTTAATTAGATTTGTATTTCTGCAGGGCAGAGAAATGATGCTTCAGGGTAATGAGAAAAGCCCAAATCCTTGGGGAGTACTAATCGGGATGGGGGGAGGGGATAATATTTGATTTGTTGCAGGCTTAAATTGATGCACACATTATGAGGAAATGTATCACAGCAATAAAGACAGGGCCATGAGAGCTCATAAGAGTATGAGAGGCGGAAAAACTTACATGAAAAAAACGAGAAGGAATGCTCTTGGATCTTGACACTCCATGCAGGTCAGTTGCTTCAAATCTGACAAACTGAATATTTTCTCTGGCCATCTGTTGTTTAATGTGGTCAATAAGTGAGACCAGACGAAGGGAAGATTGACTTCCAGGATTGTTTATGTCAGGCTCTCTGCTGTGATCTTTAAAATAAAGAGCAGTGTTCATGTTAGACAAACTTAATAATGCTGTCATTACAAGCTGTTTCACTAAAAAGCACCAGCATGACAAAATGTCATATAATAGGGTGGCCGATCCTCCAGGATGGGCCTGGAGTCTCCAGGAATTAAAGATTAATCTTTAATTAAAGATTATGTCATGTGATTAAATCTCCAGGAATATGTCCAACCAAAATTGACAACCCTGGATAGAAACTTGACTTTTTTTCTTTCAACTATGACTTACTTACTGGGAAAACAAATGGGAAGAAGGTTTGCCACTCGCAAACATTTTGGAAGAGGACAGTCTAGATAATGATGTCCACTTTTGTCCTGGAGAACCAGTACAATGACTGTTATTTTCTGCAAGGGTTTTACAAAACTACTTACACAGTCTCTGTGCATAGTCTGATAGTCATGGGGGAGCATATGCTGCAGTAGAGAACTTCTGAGGGAGGAGCCTATTAATCTAGTGGGGGAGATTTTCAATGGCACAAAGGACAGCCAGATACCTAACTCCCATTGAAAGTCAATGGAAGTTAGGTGCTTTACTTCCACTTGTGACCTTGAAAATCACCTACCTGTTGCCCTCCCCACCCCAACAATCATGCATAAGTCTGGGATTGTAGAGAGAAGACCTCAGTTGTCTTCTACCCCCTTCCAAATACAGCAGGATTGTGAGGTGGCCTGTAATCTCCCCCACCACAGCAAGAAGAACTGTGAAGGCAGGCTCTCTAGATTTGCCACCTCTTCCTGGAGATAGTACTGGGCCTCATTCTCCACTCTGTTACACCTGCTCTGTGCCTGTGTAATCCTATTGAAATTAATGGTGTTATACTGATGAATAACTGGTGGAGCAGAGAATCAAGGCTAGTAGCTTACTCTGACAGATGTCCTGATCCCTGCCAACTAGCTTCCAATTCCACTCTCTAAATATTATTTATAACTATTATTATTATTCTGTATTTAAGTTAGACTTTATAAACGGTGACCTTCATCTGGAATTAAAGTGTAACTGAGAACAGAATTAGATGCTAAGGCTTCAGTAGTGTTAGAAAATAGTGTTGCTCGTCCAAAGGAGAGATTTTTTTTGAAAGTCCAAAATTCCCACAGGGAGATAGATGGCAGCAGCCATCACAACCACAGACTGCTCCAAGCCCTCAGATATCAGTGGATCAACCTTCAGTCAGTTTCTGATTGGAAAGCAGCAAGTATCATTATTATTTGTATTACCACAGGGCCAGGAGCCCTCACCAGGGACTAGGACCCTATGTGCTAGGTGTTATATTAGCAGACATAAGTACTGCGGGCATGTGGTGAGTAAAATTAAGAGGGAGGTGATACATTTTATTGGGGTATTGTGGGAGAAAGACCACCAAATGCATAGACAGGTGGTTAAACAAAAATAAAAATGGTAGAAACAAATAAAATAATAAGAATGAAGGGGAGGAAAAATAGAAATAAGTATGTTCCATCTTTTTCACCTCACGCTGTCTTTGTGTTTTTTGTGTATTTCAATTGTAAGCTCTTTAAATAGGTGACATATCTTTACTCTGATTTTTAGGAATTGTAGGGAATAGGAATAGGGTAGTATTTCTTTAATTAATTTCTGAATTCTCTAATGGCAGTTAGCATGTTCGATTATTTAGGAGCTGTCAGAACCTCACTAGAACAGAAGTGTGTATATGTAGGAAGGCTTGCATGTTGTGTATATTCAGTAAAGAGTTAATCGGACCACACATTTCTGGTTCCTTTGTATAATGTTTGTTGTGTAAAGAGCAAAAGTCACAAACAGGTAGCTAGAACATTTTTGGATTCTTGATAAATAATAAAATGATGGAGAGGCAGTACTCCCTCCATAGTTAAGGTCACAACCAGTTTCCATTATAAACCCTCTTTTATTATCCTATAATTTGGCCTTGGAACATAGATTTTTACTGAAATTTACTAGGTTTGACTTCTGTGTGAGCATCAGCATGCACCATGTATTTATTATCATGTTACTCCATATTGGGTGGTTGTAACTTAAAAAGAACATTAGGGTCTTTCTATACATGACAGCTAAAACATTATCCTTTAACTCAAGTGGTAGAAATCCACTATTATTATTTTTTTGGTGTGGGGGGGGTTGTTTTGTTTTTGTGGCTGTAGGAACAAGGCTCTAGCTCTGGCTCTATCGGTGTGGTTTTATCCCTCAGACATGATAGGTTCTCACTAGTAAGGGTTCAAATCATAATTCTCTTACAAGGCTGGTTCTTGTTCTTTTTATAGGTCATAAAAATGGGGGGGGGAGAATCCTCTTTCTCCCATATTTTTGAGTTTCAAATTTTAAAATGGCTCCTGTCTGAAATCTTATATGTCACACATAATAAACACTTGTCAAGGATAACTATGTGTACAATTCATCACAACGCAATAAACTTAACTTTGATCCAAAATAAATATTATTCTTTCTTCTGTAATCCCAAAATATAAACACAACACAAAACCGGCCTGAAACAAATATACTGTACATACACTGACATATAAAACAGCTTCAAATGCAAAGCCTCGTACATGTGTAATTTTAACATAAATTAACACTGAGACACTTTCCCAATTGAATATAACATAACAGAGCTCAAAAACAACAGCTATATATATTGGTTACTGAAATTATATGTAACTGAAGTTTCTCATTGACTTAAGTGGGTTTGGATCAAACCTCATATGATCAGTTTAACTTTTATTATGTCCCTTAACTATTCATTTTCTTGCTTTGAATTGCTTGGATATTATAAATGATATGATACATAAGAACATTGTTATTGTTTAGCAATCTTAATTGGATTTTATATTGAAGAACTTTTTGTTTTTGAATAATTAATAAATAATGATTAACAATAATTCTCCTTCTCCCAAAGCGTATTGTCTTTCTGTGTATTTTGTAAAGGAACATGTACAATTTTCATTGTTCGCTATATGTAAGATATAATGGGCATCATTTTGGTAGGCCTGGTTTGACATCAGTAACTTGCCTTATTTCTTAGTGGGCATGATTGGGAAGGTGAATTGAAGGTTAAGTTGTAAATAGGGGTTTACTAAGCAATATGCTGGAGTCAGGATGTCTGTGCTAGCTAAGATAAACAGGAACATCTGGATGCTAGGGAGAACACTGCTGCTAGGGACAATGGACAAGATAAACCTGGTATGTAAAGAGCATATCCCAAAATATAGAATATCAGGGACCTCAGGAGGTTATCTATTCCAACTGCCTGCTCAAAGCAGAACCAATCCCTAACTATTTTTTATTTATTTTTTTGCCCCAGATCCCTAAATAGCCCCTCAAGGATTGAACTCACAGCCCTGGGTTTAGCAGGCCAATGCTCAAACCACTGACCTATCTCTCCCTCCATCCCTCCCTGTGATGCAATATATATTAAATGCAACATAATGTGTAAATGTATATAAAGGAAGAGGTTTTCTGTGTAACTTTGGATGTGGGTATGTCCTATACTCACTCACGACGCTTGAGCCTGATCAACTCAGTATAGCTTTGTTGTATGCCAAATAAAGGAACCTGATTGATAAAATCTGGTGTCAAACTGAGTTTTTGGGATCCCAGAGAACTGGATGAAGTGTTCTCTCAGAACTGGACAAGGTGATCTGGATAAGCCAAGTGGAAAGGGTCTCAGAGGTGATCCCAACAGTTTCCAATTAAAATCCATTTTGTAAAATCTATTTATGTAAATTTATATGCAAATTAGTCATGCCTATCATGGTCTTGGCAAATTATCAAGAAATATAATAATTAAATCAAAGGAACTTTGGATTTCCCTTGTAAATTTGATTCCTTAAAAAAGCAAATGCATCCATATTGGGCAATTTTTTTGAAGCATTTTTTCACGTTTATAACAAATCAGTAGTGTATAGAAAAGCATTCACTACTTAGTTTTTACCTAGTCCTTGCTCAGGCAAAACTCCATCTCCCACTGAAGAGAAAACAGAGTAGGGACTTCGTAATTTGGCCTATTAAATATGCAACCCCAGTCTCCGTGCCATTGGCTTTGCAATCACTACAAAAAATTTCTAAGAAAATTCTACTGCCTAATCTATTAACAACAAGAAAGACTTGCCTTTCTTATCCAAATCATTAGTATTGGACATCAAGTAGGATGAAAGGATTTGAACATATCAGTTGCACATGTGGCTGGAGTGGATGGTTGGTGTTGGATTAGTTTTTTTTTTCAGTGATCGAGAAGCACTTTGCCAGAAGACAACGCCCACATCCAGTGTCAGTGAGTCATTCACTGGTTGTTCAAAAGAATTTCTATCTCATGTTTGCTAATTAAACCACATTACATCTAAATGAAAAATTTGTTAGCTCTTAAGCAGTTAAGTGCTGGACAAATGAACAGAAGAGGAGGAACACTTTACTACATGTTGCATAGGAATATAGCCAGGATAAAGAAAAGCTGACCTAACAAATGTACTGATATTGAAAACTCTGTTGGGTAATATGATATCATGAAAATCTGATATAAAATTAATGACCTTTATTCTTTACATGACCTTAAGTAGAAATATAGCTTTAGAGAAATAAAAATAAACCATAGACCACACAGGAAGTGTCAGACCACCTCAGATTAGTGATTCGTCTAGTCCAGTATCCTGTTCTCTGACAGTGCCCAGTACCAGATGCTTCAAAGGAAGGTGTGGAAAATCCTTCAGGAGGTAGTTAATCTGCATGGAGGGAAAGTTTCTTCCTAATACCTGTTACTTAGAGGTTGTCTTATGGTCTGAAGCAAGATTGTTAATATCCCTTGCAAACTTTTGGGGGTTTTGTTTTACTTTTTCTTTTTAAACCTTAGTAATGTTAGTAATGTTCATGTTATCCATATGAAAGTTAAATCCTGCTAAACTCTTGGCCACAAATCCAGTGACAAACAAATTGTCACTGTTGAGTGTCACTGTTGAGTGACAAACTGTTGAGTTCCACAAACAAA